GCCATAAGCCAGATTTCACAGCCAGAAACACTCGGCGCAGAGTGTTTGAGGGAGTGTGAATGTGGCTAAACTGTACGTGTAAATACAGTGCATGTGTCCTCACGCACACATTCACTTATTTGTCCACAAAGGAATCATGTAATTTAACGTGAAGTACCCAAACAGTGAGTCATGTGAGGCTGACTGCTCTCCTTGGCAGGTCACTAAAGGCACTCACCATAAAGCAGCCACAACTAAAGGGCTAGTCCCCAGACATGAGCCGCTTTGAAGGCTTTAAATGATCTATTTCATTTGTGAAATGACTTGAGGTGTGGGTGGGCGTGCATACTGTCTCCCTACGCTGGAATCCTTTATAGATGTCACCTACGAGATTAATCAGGATAACAACCAGGCTGCAGACTAATTCATGGAGTCCACAGAGCCGTCACAACACAAAAAGAAGGATGAGAAAGTACGAGAGTGAAAGAGACAGAAGCCATGTTAAGAAAATGAAAGCTTAAAGCGATGGAGGAGGAAATGAACAGTGAGCAGTCCAAAAATAAGATCCTCAAAGTGCATAAGGAGCACATCCAGTTGAGGTGGGCGACCTCTCTCTGACGAAGTGTCACGTCTGATATCGAACTGGAGCACCTCATCGATTTGAGCTGCTGCTGTAGATCCAACCAGCTCCAGCAAAAAGCACTTGGAGCACATTTCTGAGCTATTTGATTCCAGAGTGCTCAGGTGCAGGCGAGACAGATAGCAGCCCTTAGTTTTGGCAAAGTGGTGATTTGTATTCAAACTCGCCGTGACTACAATCATTTGCTCGGGAAAAAAAAAAAATCCATTTTCAGATTTCCCATCATGGCTATAACCTTTGTCAAGGACAAGATTCAAACAGTGCTGATGGATTAGGGCTAATAGAAAGATGAGACGTGGTGAGCACACATCCTGAAAGTGAAAGTACAGTCACACGGTAGCGAGGCTTTGATGAATCCAGTCATCGGAAATTTGCATAAATGGTAGAAATACATGCGATGCAATGGCAGCTCAGAAACATTGGACATAACAAGTCCAGCTCTGTCAGATCTTAGAAGCCTTGGAGGCCTCATTAGATGCCCAAACACCTGGCGGTTGTCTCAAAAGCCCCTTTCAAATATGCATTCCTTTATATTCATCTGAGGGCATCTAAACTTTTTAAATTAACCTCTGGATGAGCTCCCTGGTCACTTTTTAGTACTAGGTTCAGACATGTGCATACAGTCGAGCCTTTGTCAAAGTCCCCTTGTCGTGCCACTTTCAGAAGAAAAGTCTGTTTTTGGACAGTTTTGCTGCATAAACATGATGTTTTAGTCCTCAGAGCTTCATCATACAAAAGGGTTCAAAGAGGAAGTTTGAGTTATCCATCTTTCAGGACTTTTAGATCTTTTAGAACTACAGACTTCCCCTCTAGTCTTCCATAATGTTTATTTGTTCATACAGAAGCTGTACTTGTGTGAAGAACAACTCGTAGACTGACGCTACGTTCTCTCCTCCCCACACTCGGCCAACAGCTTTGGAAGATGGCGTCCAGTTGTCAAGAACTGCAGCCCAAAGCCAGGAGGTCGTGAATGTCACATATTAGGTACAGTTCAGCAGTCAAACGTGCACTTTGTTTGAAGCATAGCCTCAGTGTGATTCCATCAGTTTAATCCTCGGATCACCAAACATCAGAGAGCACGAGTCAAACCTCTGTTGGAATAAAGTCCAAGACTGACCTCTGTGAGAACATGCACTCCATCCCAGAGATGTGTGAAACATAAAGTCTTCAGACTCCGTTCTTGATTAATTGACTTACAAAAGGGACATTTTTCAAACAGGAGCAGAGAGGCAGAGGACTCATGGAGAACATTTGAGGAGAGACGGCTCTCCGCTGAGACCCTCCATGTGCCATTAAAGTCCTGCTAGGAGGAGCTCGGCTTGTTAGAGGACATAAATGTCAACAGCTCATACGAGACAATCGGCGCAGGATGTAAAAAGTGCCGCCTCGTGTGATGTTAAGCTCGCAGCTTCCCGGATCGTTCAGCGTCTCCCCTTTAATAGGCGCCGGTGTGAAGGTGGAGGGTGTCGCGGTGTCACCTCGTCTAGCTAGCAGCGCGTGCATTACGATTTCCTGTTACCATGGTGCTACCATCACGGGTCCGACAACCCCCTCTGTAGGCGTCTGTCACACATGGAATAGTCCCAGATGGCCAGCATTGATTTCATTAGCCGAGCTGCTTTAAAGAGGATCCAGTGATTTTTTTTTTTTTTTCTTTTTTTACAGGGATTATCTCTGGTGACAGGCCAGCCAGCAACGTTTAGACAGATTTCACCAGGCACTGTCCCTTATTAACTCTGTCACTCTGTTGGAGATCTGCAGAGACAAACCCCACCCCCCCACCGCCACTGCTGCCCCCATTCCCTCCTTCCTCTTTCCTCTTTGACAGCCTGCGCCAAAGAGAACATATGGCAGGGACTCAAAGCTAGATAGCACCAGTGACAGTTGCAAGAGACGTGGCGCGACGGCACCGCTGCTGTTCGTCCTGTGATTGTGTTTCATAAAGTGGATAAGTGCGCTCCACAGCAGTGATGGGCAGAGTGAGACATCTGTCCGTCAAGGTGACGTCCACGATGTGTTGCTCTGGCAACAGGATTAATCACTGTTTGGATTTGGTCTGATGCAGCCTTCAGATTGTGTTAAAAAAAAAAGAAAACAGCCTTCTGTGGTTGTCATTAGTTGTGTTTTTGAACTTTCTGCTCCATGACATTAATGTGTTTTTTTTTATAGAATTCAGTGTGATGCTCTGTCCTGTTTTAATGGAGCACAGCGTGTTCTGTTCTTACATAAAAACAGTGTTTAGTGAAGCATTCTGTGTCCTTTACCAGCATTGTAAAGAGGTTTACATTATAAATCTCTCTGCTTTGCACACTGACTGTCTAATTCTGGGTTTGTAAAGCTGTCTTCATTACGCCCGTCACATGAATAACTTAGAAACAGCTCCTCAGTTTGATGAAGTGTTGTTTCACTACCAGCTCTACGCCTTAACTGGCTTCAACACGAACTTCAGTCTTTACTCAGAATGAGGCAGGATGAGGCTCAAACACATCAGTGTGTCTAAACGTATTTGTTTGTCACTTTCTGAGCTCAGCGTAGTCGGTTATGAATCCCTCTCTGGCCGTGCGGGTCCATGGAAATACCAGACTTGCCTTAAAATGTCTAAAACTCTGCTTCGTTGCTTCTTCTAGCACAGGGGTGTCCAATCCTGGTCCTCGAAGGCCACAGTCCTGCATGTTTTAGATGGTTCCTTCTTCCAACACACCTGATTCACATGATCAGGATCATTATCAGGCTTCTGCAGAGCTTGATGATGAGTAGTTCCCAAATTGATTTAACAAACTGTTGCTGAATCAAATCAGGTTTATTTGTTACGTATACAGTTGTACATCCATCCATCCATCATCTATGCACCGCTTAAAGTGTGAAGTGAGCGCGTGCAATGTATGAATCCTGAACTGCTGCAGACTTTTTCTTCCACACAGGAGAGATTTGACTCGAGTTTCTTCCTTCTTCATTACAGTATCCAGCCCCTACTCCGCTGTGAAACACTCACAGTCTGCAATGAGATCCGTGTGCGTCCATCTGATGCAGCTGATAAGTGTCTATTAACATACAGAAAAATGTGTTCCCGCCCACGCACCACATGCATACATAATTCACCATACGCGCCGGCTTTAAGTGGCGAGTAAACAAAGCCATCGGATAGACGGAGAAGGGTAACGGCTCCGTCGGTGACATTCGCTCCTGTAACCAGCTGTAATGAACTCACGGCACTTGCAAAGCACACGCACAGACATTTTTCACACGCTGGCCTTTAAAACATCTGAACCGCTCGTGTAGCTAATCATCCGCTGAGCACGGTAACACTCTGTCATAGATACAGTTTAATATCAGAATAAAACACAGAGCACCGGGGAGCTGTTCTCCCATCTGAGCTTCGTTCACCGTGAGAGCTGAGAGCTGAGAGACCGAAAGGACGAGTTAATGTTTACATCCTTGTTTTGCCGTAGTGTGTATACGAGTGTGTGTGTGTGATGCTGCATGCAAATGACCATGCACGTCTTTCTGGAGATTTGCTAAATGGGATTTTTGAGGCCAATGTTTTGTCCTTTATTGCAATTCTGAAATGACAGTCGACACCTTGAGCGGAGAGGAGAGCAGGCGAGACACAAGCCGTTTGCATAGTGTGTATATGATCCACGTGGTCCTGCCCTGTGCAGAGCTGTTTGTTGTCAGTCTGCGTTGACGCGCGGCTAGAAGCTGTCGCGAAAGCGCTATGGGGGTAACATTTGATTTGCAAATGAAGAAACACACCCGCGCATTTGCAAGACACACACACACACACAGACACAGGTGTGTTTGTTCCCCACGGGGATGATTTGCAACTGAATAGGCGTGTTGCACCGGCTGACTTCTAAGTTCTGACAAAATGCTTCCAGGGGAAAAACAAGCGGGTGCACCAAGGACATGCCATTTACCAATGTTGTACCTTTTATCAATAGAAGCCTGTGAAAACACCTTTAGTTACAGCCAGAGTGGCTCTATTAAAATTCAACCAAGTGCTGTTTACACTAACTTTCCAGTCAATGCCTAATGTTCACATTCTGTTCAAGGTCGTCTCTCGTTACACTCAGCTGTGTGTGTGTGTGTGTGTGTGTGTGTGTGTAGTTCTGTGTGTGTACCAGTGCGTGCAGACCGAATGACAACAACAAGGTCCCACTGGAATTCAAATCTTAAATGCTGCCAGACGCTTGATTGTGTCATTTTTCATACTTGAGGTGCGTGTGTGAGCATGAGTGTGTCGCGTTTGTGTGTGTCGGGGTGTTGGACAGGCGATTCGGGCACGGCCAGCTGTTTTTGATGACCCGTAGCGTCACCTCTCCATCTCCCTGTTGAACCAGCACAGGTGTTTCCTCTGATAGCGCTGTGTGTCTCTGACCAGGAAGTTGCAGCCGTCCACGCCTTCCCAGCCAAAAGAGTGACGTCCAGCAGCCTGGCTCAGACCGACCCGTCAGCAGATCGGACCATGGCCTCACCTCAGGATGCCACTCTCTGTAAGTACTTTTCTTGTTTTTCATTTGGGACTTGTATTTTTTAAAAGCAGAGTTCTGAAAGTTATTTTTTTGCAGAAAGCTCTGATGCAACATCTGATGTGTTGTAACATATTGTAGGAGGCCTCGCTCTGCGATTGCATCACGGTTACACGACTCTGTCAACCAAACAACAAAGGCTGCAGGATGCTTAATGCAATGTTTTGTCCCATTTGTTCTGCGAGATAAACATTTGGCAGAAAGCACGTTTTGAAAACTAGATTGTTCATTTCCAGATAAGGCTGCCTCCCTGGCAGCTTTTTTAATGGGAATCTGGGGGCTCGCTAGATACTGGGCTTCCATTATTGCGATAGCAACGCTATGGTGGCTACCTCCAGTTTGTTTTTCACCAGCGCTGATAGTGAACACACAGATGGAGCTTACAGTGTCAGGTACAGTCCGTTTTTTTAGCTCCGCGAGGATCACGAGTGAACTAAATGCAACACACTGGCCTCTCAGGTATCACACAGTGTTGACTTTGTGTGTGTGTGTGTGTGTGTGTGTGTGTGTGTGTGTCTATGTGTGTCTGTGTGTGAAAGAGAAATCGGTTCTAAAACTCTGGCTTACAAAAAACGACAAGCATAAAACCGTTCACGTAGAGCAGAGCACAATCTACTTTACCTTCATGTACAAACTAAAATAACACTAAAGCTGCATTTGAATGGGGGGCAGAGGGGTAACAGTCCCCTGTGGTCCATTTAGCTCCTGATGGGATTCCAAAGTTCATAAAATTAGAGGATGAGATCGATATTAAATGCAGACTTTGAGCAGGACGATAAATAAACTTGAACTTAATCCATAACTATTTCTGTTTTAGACGCAAAGTAAGTCGTGTGTACGTCCATGGTTACGTTACAGAAAGCCGATAGCTAATCCTATATGTTGTTTCATGGCACAAATTTAAGAAAATGTCAACAACCAAAGGCTTAGAAACAACAGCAGCACCTTCCACTAGCAGCTCAGGACTGATGGTTTATAAGACTTTCTTTTTGTTGTCGATGGGCAAAAACATTTCCGACTCGCTCCAGTTTCACACGACGCCAGATTTCACATTGAGCTGATAAAATGCATGCGATGAAACTGTATTCTTGGAGGAAAGAAACACTCCCTTCAGAACACAAGGACGTGGCTCGGTGAATGGACAGAACGCTGAAAACCAGACGGAACAAAGACGCCGTTTCTATGAGTCAGTCGTAGAAAGTGAAAAGTTGTAGTCGTCTTTGGAAACTGCCAGGATGTACGTGACCTTTACTGTTGTATGGAAAGCTTTCAGTTGAAAACTCTGTCAGTAAGAAGGTAAAGAAACTCAATCCTGTTTTCTGATTTTGCTGATGTAGGCAGACTAACTGTAGCTGTGCAGATTTTAATTTATGTTGTGTTGTGTTGTGCATAAATACGTAGAACTCTCTCTGTGGAGACTCTCAAATGGATCCTGATCTAATAAACTCCAAACAGCTGGAGGCAACAAACTAAACTTCAGCTACCAACGTGTGCACCTCGTCAACTACTTAACCTGTGTCCTTTACGACTGGCTGCTGCCGTACAGTCATCTCATGGTGCTTTCATTTGTACTTGGACATGAGAGTTTGAGTGAAGTGGCGCCTATAAGAGTGATGAGAGTGAAGTATGGAAGGAAAGTTTCCAGCTGTGAAGCCAAAACCAGCTGAAAGATGCTAAATGTGAGCAGAACTGCAGAGTTCAGGTTCCAAGCCTTTCATGTACAAGCATTAGGGTAATTGATAGAAATGTACTTAGTGTAGCTGCATTAATGTTTATTTCTTTTTGTCGTGTATAGTCAACACCACCGTCTCGACACACGTGTGTTTACATGCTACGCTGTTGCACAACGAAACTGAAAAAAGACCCGCGTGAGGCAGTGATTGGTAAAAGTAGAAATCTAAAGTGATGGATGCGTTGACAGGTTTCCAAATGGCATGAAGGTGTGCACACGCTCATCAAGCCAGCCGAGCATTCACACAGCCAGGCGGAGCGTCTCCATCTCCACCTGAGATCAGGCAGGCTTTCGTGTGGCTGCGCACGTCTCTAAATCTCCGTGCCACGTCTAAAATTGGAGCTTGTTGATGATCCCCGGCGTTGTCCCGACTGAGCGACAGCTTTTTGTCTTGGCTGACAAGTTGACGGTGACAACGGCGCGTAATCTGCCAGGTCAGATGACAGACGGTAGTGACGGAGGGTTAGGGCTACGGGAGCTGTTCCCTGCAAAGCCACGGCGTTTAAATAAAGCACGGTGGCAGAGCAACCGCGCTTTAAACAGATGCAAAGCTCACCTCTAAATCTCCACACCGCGGCTCTTCGTAATCAGGCGTCCATGTTTACACGTTTCGTCTCGTCTGGCAGGATCGCAGCCACCGAACTGTTGCTTTCCTTCTGGCACACGCAGTCGTGTCGGTGAAACAGGAAATCTTTTATTCTATTATTTAAAAGTTGTGTGTGTGTGCGCGCGCATAAACATCTATGAATTTATTTAATTAAGTCTGGGGCTGATTAAACTTGTCAAACAGGATTCACCCAAGAGAATTTTTCAAAGTCTGCGAGCGCTGCCAGTTGGAGGTGGATTTTGCCAAAAGACTGTTTTCGTTTTAATTAATCTCCTCCCAGATTTTCCTGCCTAATGATGATGTCTTTATAATATCATCCTGTAAAAAACAAAGATTTTCTCTCTGTCACTTTAGAAACTGATCTCCTTGGTGTCTATTGGGGGACACGACTGTCTCTGAAGACACAAATGGAAGTCGAGGTTTGACGATATTGTGCATTGATTTGAGATCGCTCTTGGTTTAATGGCTGCACACTTATTGGGTTTCGACAGAATTGTGCAAATTGTTTTTGACACTTTGACCTAATGTAACCTCGCTTAGCAAACAAGCTAATCTCAATGTGTAGTCTGTGGTTGATCCTTTTCTACCCAAACGGTTTCCATTTGATAGTGTCTGTTTTTCATTCCCTGACTTTCATCTTTAAAGCAACATTATTCCTGTTACATACGACGAACACTTTCTGCTGAAGTCCGGTGTTTTGTCGTATCCATCCGCCCCAACCTCCTCCCTCCAGGACTTCGTGACTCTGTAGCTACGTCGCCTGACTTCCTCCTTTGGTGCTATTTACAGCCGTTAAAGCATAACTACGGGGGATAATGAGGCGATGGAGGTTGGTTAGCTTAGCAGGAGGAAACCGTCTGTATTTAATAGTCTCTGTCCAAACTTCTTGAATTAGTTAATAATGTTTTTGAGTTGGCACCCTGAGCTCACCTTCACATCCAGGGACAGTCCCCGTGGCGGGTTGTTTCCACGCTTACATTTCCTGGTTTACCTTTAAAGACTTTGTGTTAATTATTCTTTAGAATCTAGCCGTTGTCAAGCCTCCTAGCGATGACAAAAACACCACACTGGCCTGAATAACGAGACGTTTGTCATGTGTGGACAAAGCGTCTCTTCCATCAGTTGTTTTTGTACAAATATGAACTCGTTAAGAGGCCAGGCGTGTTAGGAAGGATTCCCAGGATGCTTCTGGCCCAAGGATAAGATCAGATGAGATTCCTGAAGGCTTGTCGGTCTTTAAAATGGACTTCTATCAACCGTATGCACCAGGGTTGTTGTTGTTGTTGTTGTTGTTTTACATTTTCTTCTCACTCAAAAGATGTCTTCTGCATAATATGACACAGTGACAGTGGATTCAATCATTTAAAAAATCAATTACTTTGATTATTTACTTTATAAAAAATGATATAAAGTCAAATCTGCTCGTCCAACATGAGGAGCAGTGACATTTAATTAGCAAGAATTTTTAAATGCGACATGTAGACCAAAGTGATTTTAAAGAAACATCACAATTTTAGAGAACCGTACCTCCTCATGCATGATGCGTTCACAGACCATCGAAAAGTCAAGACTTTGTTGTTCTAGAAGAAAACCTGCTCTTCCAACTCCCTGATGGGTTTCAGGGCTCAGAGGGTTAAAGCAGAATATAAAGTCCATGTTTGTGCAGCTTGTTCAATTACTTTTCTGAGTTAAGCTAAGATGCTTCTTTTTTCAGAGCTTTAGAGACTTTTGAGGACTGACTTTAGTGTCTGTTCCTGTCACATTATAATTCTGAGTAGTCTTTTTCCTGCTGGTAGTCTGACCCTACACACCATAAACAGACTTAATGTACCACTTCAGCACATAAACACTACATGAAGTCATCAGAAATATAATTATTGATGTTTTTTTTTGGCCTGACAATCAAATTATTAGAGGTTGGGAACATGTGAGCTCTGCGTTCCCACAAACCAAAATACCAGGAGAATTACTCCCAGAGTCATTAGTGTTTATTAGCACCGCTCTATTGAACCCAGATACAGTACATTAGCTTCACTGTAAATCTCTTTATTGGCAACTTGCTCTAACAAATTAAAGATCTCATTCGGCTTCACTTTGTTCACTTGTTTCAGTCTGACTGTGGACGCGCTCTGGACCTCGGTTTGGGGATATTCAAAGGCCCCTTCATTTGGTATTCTGCCGGAGTCTGTTTATTTTCCTCTTTAGGAAAAGGAAATCCATGTGCAATTTCAGTGGGATTATCAGCAGAGTGCAGCTTCTCCACGAGCCCGATAACCGAGCTTTTCTCCAGTCGATGTGCTGCCAGCGGCACCTCATGGGGTGGGCTCTCCAGAACACCTTGTGTTTCATATGTGAGGCGGGTAAACAGTCGTGATCGCGGCAAATAATACGGAGAGAATGGACGTGGAATGACTGGTGCATTCTTTTTGTGTATTGTCGAGACGGATGTAGGTTGAAGCAGATTGAACGGACGCCTCGGGCTGATCAGATACAAGCAGGAGGTCACTGGTTTAAAAGTGGACCTTTGCCACTGCTGGAGGCTAATGTATGTCCAGGAAAGAAGGAAATAGAGTACAGACAGAGAGAGAAAGGAACGAAACATGATGATACGATTAACTGCGTAAG